GAACAACATCGAGAATCACTTTTGATACAAATTTCTTCTCTTATATATTTACTTCGACAAGGACGTGCATTTAGAGGACACTCTGATATTGAAAGCAATTTGATTCAGCTGTTGAAACTTCCAAGCACTGATAATAATTTCTTAAAAGAATGGATAAATAACAAGAAATATTTATCACATGATATAATTAATGACCTTTGTAGAGAGATTTATTTTTTTATTATTCGAGATATTGTAAAGGAAGTAAGTCATACACTACCACCAGAGCATCAATCAGACCGTGTTTTTGTAGGCCTGGCCGGCCCGTGACAGGCCTTTGCATTTCAAGCCTGCCTGTGCCTGTCAACTAATTTGGCCGGCCTGGCCTGGCTGTCTGTCATTCTCTACGGCCAGCCTGCCTGCCTGGCCTGCCTGGTAAGGCCTGTCAATTTTTTAATGCTAATATCATTACGAGGATAGAATAGAAACGTGTAATTAATGTTGAGAATGAAGAAAACCAGCTTAATTAATTTTATATGACTAGATTAAGCATTTACTTATCGAAGCTTTCATACAAAAAAGAATACATCAGAGACAGCATCGCATAACATTAGGAAAAAGTAAAGGTTTTAACAATCGATAAGAAAGATCTTGATGATAATCGATAATACAGGGTGTAACATAATTATAAGCCCCCCTATACTGAATGCAGAAAAAATAGGTTTCTATTTTGCAAGTGAACCTAGCTATTGATTTGATACTTTCATTCAACAAATACATATACATGATATATTACGATGCGATTACTGCTTTTTTTCTTCTTTTCGACATGTGTAAAAATGGTTAGAAAGAAAAACATGCTGTAACATAATTATAAGGCCCCCTTTCATTGTTTGTATATCTTTTTCGTTCGGATTTGTTCGAAGTTAGTTTGTTTATTATATATTGACCTTTGGTAAAGTGCATTTTATTCTGCAAGAAAGATAATGGGAAAAAAGGCTGTTAGTATTGATACAAAGAAGGGAATCATACTTTTACGAGATACTGGTATGTGCCAACATGAAATTTCAAGAAAATTAAATGTTTCTCGGACGTGCGTGCGTCAGGCCATTCGCAAGTTCAATGAGCTTCATACAACAGCTACAAAATCTGGTGCTGAACGTCCTTTCAAAATGACACGTCGTCAAAAGCGCGCCATTAAACTTCAACAACTTCGTGATGATACTCTTTCGTTGAATGATCTTGTTCGATATGCTCAAGCAAATTTGAATTTAAATATCAGTCGTCAAACAGTAAGCCGTATCCTACGTGAATTCGATTTGGTTTCGTACGTCGCACCAAGAAAGCCTCAAATCACTCATGAGCAAAGACGTTGTCGAATTTTTTGGTGTTATAAGCATTTGAACTGGACCGAAACCGATTGGTCTAACGTTATATTTTCCGATGAAGCGAATTTTGAAATAGTAAATCGGAACAACAGAATCTATATACGTAGATTTCGGAATGATCTAAAGCGTCATGAAAGATTTCAACCAAGGGTGCATCGAGGTGGTGGTTTGGGTATTTGGTCTTATATTACGTACAATGACTTGGGGCCGTTAGTTTTCTTCAATGGGCGCTTAAACTCGGATAAATATATAGAGATACTCGAGAACAA